TGAAATCGTCAATATTCTTATGATACCTAATTTTTATGACATTTCACAATAAAATTGGGAGCAATTAGGATACGATTTATGTATTTGACATGTTCTTTTGCTAGAAAAGTAGGTTTAATTATGACAATATTTTACGATAGTTGTTTGGCAGTTGTCCTTGTTGTATTAAAATAATTTGAATGACATAATTTTTACAAAATATGAAATAATATTATTTTTGTACTTATGATGTCATACATCGCTACATCCTCGCAATATAATTTAATCGAGCAGAGAAAGTAGATTAAAAACCACCTAAAAATAATAACGCAGTCATCAACTTGCTTTTTTCGATGGTATTGTATATTTTGTTTAGTCGGTGACGACCATTAAAATGTCTTTTTTTATAATTTGTGGAATTAATTTTTATTTGGGAAACAGTTACAAAAATGTAATAAAATAAAAAATTACTGTCTCTAGAATTTGCAAATTTTTTTTGCACAGTGGATAGAGTTTTAAAGTAACCAAAAAATTGAAAATAAGTAAATCAATAATTATTGTTGGAAATCAAACTTTGCTGCAAAATAACTTTACTTCTCTAATTCAGAATATTCAAAATATCTATTAGCCTTTATTATTTTGTTTCTATACCTTTTTTATACCATTACTAGTAGGTAAAGAATCAAACACTCAGTGAAATCATATTTGAAGTAAAGAAAAGGATGTAGGTCACAAAATCTTGCCACATACGTCACACCCAATAAATAACATGATGAAAAACTTTTAAAGTTAATAACGAATGATCGAAAGCTTTTGTAATTGGGGTGGGCTAAAAATTGTAAAATTGTAAAATTTTATTTATATACAACAATAGTGTTATCTAGTTACAGTACTGCTGTTTACTAGATATTTTTAGTATAACGGGTGATTATTAACGAAATAATCACAGTTGATTGGTTGTTGTAACAATTGAAATAATTGTTTTTAAAATTTTAGTGTTTAATTTCGTTTACTGAATAGACTGACTAATTAAATTAATTTTTCTTGTTAAAAATAATAGAATCGCGATATTAATTTAAATTAAAGTTGAGATTTTTCAAAATTTTTTACTTCTCGAGCGTAAGTGAAGGAAGTATTGTAATCGAGTCCGTCGGCCGACTCTCTACTTTTACGTTTTCTCAATCTTTCATGACCCCTACAGTACGAAGAAATAGGTCTCCCGTTTCTGTCTGTTGGTCCGTGTGTCTGTCTGCCGTCCCGGATTTTTATTAGACAGATAGTCTCCAAAAGTAACTGAGCCGACTTTTGTAAAATTTTGTATTTATATTATGAATATCATGTAGATGGTAAAACGCTAATCAAAATTTGTCTAATCAGCGGCACCAAGTGATGACGTCAAAATTGCACATAGTAAATATGTATATAGAAACGCCCAGATTTTTGGAAAAAAATCAAAATTATAAAACAACATTTTGCAATTTAATTTTGAATCTGCCAAACTGAATGCTTTGAAATCTTGCAGATGTTTTCAATTTATGGTAAGCATAGTAATTTTTTTTTCAAAATATATTCGCTTATTCCCTCCAAAAATTGATGACGTAATCCAAAAATTTTGCCGGATAAATATTATCTAAAATATGCAAAAAATGATCAGGCCATACCTGTGATTTATTACTGCATTAATATTTTTTAGATTTGCTTAAACAGGGTGATTAAAAAAAATTAAAGACTGAATTGTTAAAAACTCGTTACTATAGAAATTTGCAATTTAACACCTTTTAAATTTAACAAGTTTTTACAAGTTTAATAGGAGCAAAATCAGTCTTATCTTAGCAAGTGCTAGCCCCGCCCGCCCGCCCCCTATTTTCTCAGAGAATACGTCATTTGCCAAAATCAGTTTTATCTGAGCAACTACTAACCCCACCCGCCCACCCCTATTTTCTCAGAGGATATGTTAACAGCCAAAATCAGTTTTATCTGAGCAAGTGCTAAAACCCCGCCCGCCCGCCCTTGTTTGCTCGGAGGATATGTTAATAGCCAAAATAAGACTTATCTTAGCAAGTACTTCCCTCTGAGAAACTAAAGGGCGGGTGGGCGGAGCTAATACTTGCTAACATAAATCTTATTTTGGCAGATGATATATCCTTTGACAAAATAGGGGGCGGGTGGGCGGGGCTAGTATTTAGTAAGACAAGAGTGATTTTGGCAAATGACATCCTTTCTAAGAAAGTAAAAGATGGGTGGGTGGTAGTACTTGATAAGATAAGACTTATTTCGGGAAATGACATATCGTCTGAGAAAATAGGCGGCGAGTGGGCGGGCCTAGTTAAAATAAAATTGATTTTGCCCCTATTAATCTTGGAAAAACTTGTGAAATTTAAAGGTGTTAAATTGCAAATTTCCATAAATAAACATGGTAATTATAACAAAATTTTGTTTTATAAAATTAGAAAAAGCAACCGCTTTTGAGTTTTGACACGAACTTAGTAGTAGTATTTAAACTTAAAATATATATTTTGTTTGATTTTTGTTAGTTTTAAAATTATGACATTTTTGTTATACTTTATACTCGCTTTTTGACATTTTAAATTTGGTGTATAGTTTCCTGAAACCTATAAGGCGTTTATGGCTTTGACGTTTAAAGTACTTTACAGCCGACCCTTCATAAAGCTTAGTAAATGTAAACCATGCCACGTGCCAGGGACGGCCGAGACGCGAAGGACCGGACTAAGAGTAATTTTGTTTCGTCCGTACCTTAATTATTATTTAATCATTATTCTGCACATTTGAAAATATTATTAAGATAATGAAAGCAAAAAACATAAAATCTTTAATAAGTACGATCGCAATCATAGAAAACTGGTCCACAAAGTTTTTTGATAAATCAAATAGTTTTGACGATGTCACCGGCCTTTGTTTCGAATCCAGAGGGTACATTCATATTGCTGTTATATTAAAAATAATACATGATTAGAGAGCGAAAAGTATGCAGCAAAATTTTGAGAAATATGATCATGTAATATGCATGAAAGTTATGCAAATATGCTGTAACTTTATTAATATATGCAGAGATATGCAGTTGCATATCCTCCAAAAATTGAAAAGAAGTGTAATAACACAACTAAATTTATTTACAAATTATAAAAACAGGTTTATCAAGCTTAATTTTTTTAATAGAAAATACATAGATAAATAAAATTTTTTAAAATTATTGTCTTACAGTAAATAGTGACAAATAAATAAAAATTAATAATAATAGGCCATTTAATTAGTATTTTTGTAGCAATTTATTTTTAAATACTTTTGGAAATATTGTAGCAAAAAATTTTGCCGAAAACATATTTTGTAAATAGAAATGCGGATTGTAGCAGAAGCTACAAAACACAGTGCCTTCTTGAAGAATAAATTCAGGAAAAGACCAGTACAGGACATGGTTGATAAAAGCGTTAACTGTTAATTTAGAAGAGTCGAGTGATGATGACAGTGACTATTTCGATCAGTAAATAAGCAGTTGTGTTAATAAGTAAATAGTTGTGTATATCAAAATTCTAACTAATTTGCCGTAATAAAAAGTGATTGAGTACAATGTTCCTTTGTTTTTACTTAAAATAAAAAAATCGAAAGGCGCAGTTGTCGGTAAATGCAAAACTCAGTCCTACCCTGTGCTTTTACCAGAAAAGATCTTTTCAGGTAGGTATCGGTGAGCGGATTTAAGACATCCGGTTGTGACGGCCTATTGAATTATAATGGGAGTCAAATTGGTGTGAAGTCATAAACGCCAAATATGTTTGAGGGAACTATACAATAGTACGTCTTTCATTCCGTAATGGTCATGGACACTGTCACACGATATTAAAGTTCGACGACTAAATAAAATTCGTTTTACACATTATTTTGTCTACGATTAGAGAACAGTTTTAGGCATAAGCAACAAAATTTGTAGCGAAACTTCCTTTGCAACCAAGTACTCTTAAGCCTTCCGGAAGAATAAAGTAATTCTTCTAGATTATATTCTGTTTAAAAAGAGATTCTCAATTTGGCTACTGCATTATATTGATATAGTGAGGCGTACTTCACATCGTTGAATGATATTTGCTATTTATTTTATACTTTGCAATCATTCTCAAATAGACGAAAAAGGGCAGCAGTTGGTAAGTTTGACTTGACTGTTTATGTTTTATTGTCTGTTTAAACACACATTATGAAATTTTGAATTTTGAAATAGAGCTCGCAGCAGCTGCCAGTTGTACTATTCTATATTCTCATATGCAAACCCACGACCTTTACGTTCGTTGTTTGAAATCGTGAAATTTCGTACCTATTTATTTGTGTAATACGCATCTGTTCTTGAGCGATCGTTGCAAAACACATTTTTGCCATTAATTTAAATTTTATGATACTTTTAACTATTCATGTTAAAAAAAAACTTTTAGTTAGTTTTACGAAATTGCATAGTTTAGTTTTTATAAACCCGCCGATTTGTATTCGTCCTTATAGCCAGTAAATCGGAAACAAAATTTCTTGGCTTACTAATAACGAACATACAACAAGTGGCTATTTGTCGACAGATTAACACCAAGCACACTTTACGACATTAATTTGAACAGCAAACAGTATAAAATTAATTTTACTGTAAACACATCTGCTCGAAAGACCAATATTAACAACATCCAGCATGTGATCTCAATAAGTTTTTCGCTAATATGTTGCACCAATTGTTCCTTCCCCACGAAATAAACGAAAAGTACCCTTTGCCAGACCCACGGCCTAACAAAAAGTCCCCCTCCACCGTCATCACTGCCTACAGAAAAGATAATTAATTACCACGAATAAATGGGTTAGTTCGACATTAAACGCTCCGTTGTCTGTATTATTACGTTACACAACGGCCGTTATTGTATCGTTACGTCATGTTTCCACCAAAGATCCACCTCTCCGGCGCGTCCTTTCCCTTTGTCGTCGAAAAAACAACGAAAGCGACGAACGAAGCATGATTGATGGCAATGTCGATGGTTTTTCAGCAGCCGCCGCCGTCCCGTTCGAGCATCCACGCGCCGCCTCTGGCCGGCTCGCCGCTGAGCAACCGTGGCGCGAGCCTTTCCGTACCTCAACCGCCGCAGAGGAGCTCGCTGGGACGACCGCCGTCAGGCTTTCCGCCAGGCGTTAAGGACCTGTCGCCTTCCGTTACGATCACGCCCGCACCACCCCAACCGTCGAAGGTTTGTCATGTCTTTGTGTGGAATCTTTATGTAGGAAAGATAAAAACTACAAAAAAATGTATTGTAGCTATTCAGTACGAAAGCGCTGAAGGGACATCAGACTTACGACGGATTATGTACAAGGGTATATTATAGTAGATCTTTTAATCCTCGATCGTGAAGTCGAGGGCAATGATCACACGAGGGACTTGGTTCAGTGGGTTGATTATGTAGTATTTTTTACACTCGTGGTAATAAAAATTAATTTAATTTAGAAATTGATCTTGTTTGTAAGCAAATGAAGGTGGCTTTGTAAACGTAGAGTCTAACATTTGAAAAAATTAGTTGAAATTGTCTGCTTGAAAATTTAAAATCACTAGTACGAATGAACTTGGACAACGGTAAACTGCGCCGATATATCTAACCCAGCCCAGCGGTTTCTAAAGTGTGGGTCGAGACTCCGTGAGTGAATACAAACGAATTAACACTTTTAAGTCAAAATAAATTACAACATAAAAGAATATTGATGTGATGTGTGTGCTTGTTTTTCAAAAAGTAGTTTTCCAATTGTGGACTTTGTTTTTGATACACAAACTAGTTTCAACGTTCTGTCACTTGATATTTCAGTAAGTTGTTCCTTCAGAATTTGTTGAAATCTCAGCATATTGAAAGTATTTTGTAAAAACAAATCCCGGATCCAGATGGAAATTGTTATAATTGTTTTGAATTTCCTTAGGGAAATAACTATAGAGCTGTTGTTTTAATTTGTGCAAACTGATTTGCAGCTCTATAAAAGTATGTGTAGAATTGATCACAGTCAAATGGCCAAATTTGCCATGAATAATAATCATCCCCACCAACAATTTGATGACGTCATCCCAAAATTGATCAGAAACTGATTTTATTTGATTGTACTTCAGGGGCGAAGGAAGTTCTGCCTAAATAACCTTGGGCCAATTTTTATTATTCACGTTTAATTTATTCCCAAAAATTTACTAAGAATTTACATTACACACTTTTTATTAAAATTACAGTTACGATGTCAGGAAGTGGCTTCGAAATTCTTTGCAGCGAAGTTTGATCTATGCGAAGTTAACTAATATACTCTTGTGAATTCGAAATAAAATTAAATTCACGCCCATATTCTATGCCGAAAGCGATATGGATAGTTAGAAATAATATTTGTTGGAAACTATCCTCAAATTAGTAGTGTTTCTTAGAACAAAGAATATTGGTTACAAGCTTAAATTGGTACGACAGATTGATCACTTCTTAATAAAGACGTCACACTTCAGTTCGTATTTAGTTGGCAATGAAAAAGCCGGAAAACAATGCGCTTTATGCGAGGTTCGAGGCGATGTTACCAATTCGTTCCAAGTACCCTGAATGCCTAGAAAAATAGATACCTATGTGAATCTTGTACAGTTTGTTGTAGAATTCTCTAATTTCGTATTTGTTGTCAAAACTTTATTTTTATTTAGTTTTTTAAAAATGGTGTTTTTATTTATTCGTGTATCATTTTCCTAAATTTACTCAAAATTTTGCTTTACATTTTTGACTATATTGCCGATTTTAACGATTGTTTTTTTATTGCACTAATGTTTTCAAATTTTTTCTCAAAAAGTTTGCTTGACCTCTACAAAGTAGTGTAAAATTTTTAAACAATGAGAATTTTTCACCTCGAGCAATATTCACACCGCTCATTAATGGAAACGACCAAGTGTTTGTTTGTGGAGCATTTGAAGTACCACTCGACCTAACTCAAAGACAAAGATTGTAAATAGATAGATGTCTCTTGTTTGCAAAATACTTTGAATGTACGATTCTCTCTTACTGAAAATTTTAATACAGGTGTTCTGATAACACGAAAGACTTTTAAGGAGATTTAAAAAACATTAAGGTAGGTAACAAAAATCACCGTGATATAATCAGCAGTAGTTAGTACGGTACTTGTAAAAACAAGTAATTTTGAAAAAAAAAAAGAAATGTCGTTTTCGGAAAGTGGGGGCGTTTGACGAATTGGCAATACCTGTTATGCTTATTTTGATTATTTTTTATTCATCAGTCAGCGACGTAAAAGTTTTCCATAAATGGTTGTGTAACATCATAGAGAACATTCGAACCTTAGTCAACAAATTCACTTGTACAAGTATGCAAGTTAGTACAGATTATTTATATTTAATTATTAATAAAAACATGTTGTGGTAACACTTGATTATTTTAATTTTGGTCCCATAGGGATTAAATTTATTTTTCGACAACCGTGCTAAAATAAGAGTGTTTTGATTTCGGAACTTTTAGGCCGTCAACGTTAAATCTAAACAGTCACTACAAAAATAAAAAAAAATGTTCAACTTTTTGCTAATACCTGCTAAGATAAAACTGGTTTACGCAAATGACATATCCTCTAAGAAAAGAGAGGGTGGGTGGGCGAGATTAGCACTTGCTAAGATAACGCTAATATTGGCAAATGGCATAGTCAAGAAAATGAAGGGTAGAAGGTATGTCATTTGACAAAATCAGTCTTATTGTGGCAAGTATTGGCCCCACCCACCCCCCTTTATTTTCTGCGAGGGTATGTCATTTAGCAATGTCCGTTTTATCTTACCAAGTACTAGCCCCGCCCACCCGCTCTTTGTTTTTTCCGCAGGTATGCCATTTGACAATATCAGTTTAACCCTGGCAAATACTAGCCCGCCCACTCGACCTTTATTTTCCTAGAAGGCTAGTACTTGTTAAACTAAGACTGATTTTGGCAAATAACATATACCATAAGAAAATAGAGGGTGGGTGGGCGGGGCAAGTATTTGCTAAGATAAGACCGATTTTGGCAGATGACATACATTCTAAGAAAACACAGGGCGGGTGGGTGGGGCTAGTACTTGCTGAGATAAAACTGATTTTGATAAGTGACCTACTCTCTAAGAAAATAAAGGGTAGAGGGTATATCATTTGTCAAAATTACTCTTATCTTGGCAAGTACTGGCCCCGCCCATCCGCCCTTTATTTTTTTCGAATGTATGCCACTTGGCAATATCAGCTTAATCTTGGCAAGTACTAACCCCACCCACCCGCCCTTTATTTTCTTAGGATATTTTATTTGGCAATATCAGTCTTATCTTGGCAAGTACTAGGCCCGCCCCCCGCCCTTTATTCTCCTACAAGGCTAGTACTTGTTAACGTAAGACTGATTTTGGCAAATCACATATACCATAAGAAAATGAGGGTGGGTGGGCGGGGCAAGTACTTGCTAAGACAAGACCGATTTTGGCATATGACATATATTCTAATAAAACACAGGGTGGGTGGGCGGGGCTAGTACTTTCTAATATAAAACTGATTTTTGCAAGTGACCTACTCTCTAAGAAAATAAAGGGTAGAGGGTATATCATTTGCCAAAATCAGTCGAATCTTGGCAAAAAGAGGGTATGCTGTTTGGCAATATCAGCCTTATCTCGGCAAAAAGTAGCCTCGCCCAGCCGCCCTTTATTTTCTTCGAGTGCTGGTACCTAGACTGATTTTGCCAAATGACATACACTCTAAGAAAATGAAGGGTAGAAAGTTTTTTGGAAATTTCAGTTTTATCTTAGCAAGTACTAGCCCCGTCCACCCGCTCTTTATTTTCTTAGAGAGTAGATCATTTGCCAAAATTAGTCCTATTTTGGCAAGTACTAGACCACCCTCCCGCCCTTTATTTTCTTAGAAGGCTAGTACCTGCTAAGATAAGTGTGATTTTGGCTAATGAGATCCCTCTAAGAAAATAGAGGGCGGGTGGGCGGTGTTAGTACCTGCTAAAATAAGATCAATTTTGTCAAATGCCATATCCGCTAAGAAAATAGAGAGCTGGTAAGTGGGGCTAGTACCTGCTAAAATAAGACCGATTTTGGCACTTGACATACACTCTAAGAAAAAAGAAGGCGGACGCCTAGGGCTAGTACCTGCTAAAATAAGACTGATTTTAGCAAATGACTATCCTCCAAGAAATTTGGTTAACTTATTATAAGAAAAGACACTAGAGGCTCCAAAGCACTTTCAAATTCTTTCCAAGCAGGAATACGTACCTAGAACCTCAAGATTGTTTTAAATTTTCCAAGAAAGAAAAAACGGTACCAAAACTAACCCAAAAACGGTCACGTCAGGTCAGAATTTTCCAAAAATAGAACACCAAAGAACCCCAAAATTGTTTTAAAGAATATACAAAAAAAAAGTACATGGGCTTCCAAAATAATACACCATGGGTTCCGAACTTTTCGTTTTAATTGTTTTTTTACCCCTAAATATGGCTTCCTGTTTTTTATTTCGATTATAGCGTTCTACATATCTTACTTCGCACTTCACAAAATCTTGTAACTAAATCCTTACAATTCTGGCGATTCCAATAATTTTGCAGTTAGACTCCGCCTCTCGGTCTGACAATGAATAAAAAAAAATCATTACAATTGAGATGGGGTGGGTGGGTGGGGCTTATATTTCACCCTGTCTTCTTAATATACGTAATTTTCTTGTCACAACAAGAAACTTGAAATATGTTCAAAATTTTTGTAGGGAAATATGTATTTTGCAATTATGCACCGCCCCTAGGTCTGTCAACGAATAAACAATTCATCATAATTGAAATCGGGACTTTTTTTTAATTACATATAGTTTTCTTTGAACAACACGATGGCAATTTTTAGTTTCTTGTTGGGAAAAGAAGATTTCGTATATTAGAAAAATAAATGTAGGAAATATAGGCCCGCCCACCCACCCCCTCTAGATTGTGACGATTTTTTATTCACTTAATTTCTTGTTGGGAAAACAAGAATTCCTATATTAAGAAAAACTGTACATAATATAAGCCCCACCCACCCACCCCCCTGTCAATTGTGATGATTTTTTTATGCATAGTGAGCCGAGGACGGAGCTTAGGTGCAAAATCCTCATTTCTCCACAAGAAATTATGTGAGAAAAGTTCTTAGAAGGGTAAAATTTTGTAAAAAAATATGAAATTTGCAGTTCGACTCCGCCTCTCCGTCTGACAATGAATAAAAAAAATCATTACAATTGAGATGGGGTGGGTGGGCGGGGCTTATATTTTGCCCTTCCTTCCTAATATACGTAGTTTTCTTTTCACAACAAGAAACTTAAAATATGTCCAAAATTTTTGTACGGAAATATGTATTTTGTAATTATGCCCCGCCCCTCTGTTTGACAACGAATAAAAAATTAATCACAATTGAGATCGGGATTTTTTTTAGCTACATATAGTTTTCTTTGAACAACACGATAGCTATTTCTAGTTTCTTGTTGGGAAAAGAAGATTTCGTATATTAGAAAAATTATAATTGAAACAACGTGAAACAGTTGAATTTGAAATTGGTAACAAATTTGGAATGCTAATTAAATCTTCCTAACAATATCTTCAACAGCAAGTTCTGCAGTCAACTCTTTTTAAAAGTGTATATTTTGTTTGTTAAAAATTTTACTTTTTTGTGTGCAATTTCGAAATGTCGAAATTTTCATTTTCTTATAACTGTGCTCATAGGTTTGTCAATTTCCACTTTTTTAGCAAAATAATGTCAAATGGGTGATGGAACTGTGTTGATGATGTCACAGATAATACACGGTAGGGGAAAAGGGGGTAACTTAACCCCGAATTAATAAATAAATTAAGTTACCGAGGATATAGTGAAATACACCTCTTACGTAATATGACTAATAACGAAAGTTAAAAAAAATGCTTTGACCACCATTGTTCAAATATGCGGGTAATTGTGGTCATCATGTGCGGAAATGAGAGTCAACCTCGAGTCAAATTGTCGTACTCGTAAACTTCCGGTGAATCCCGGATAATGCAGTCTTTCTGTGTCCACAGTCCACCTTGTACCACCTTGTATCTCGTTACAACCGAATTTGTAACAAATTCAGCATCTTCGTAATTATCATCTTCATCATCACCGCAATGAATTTATATCTTGAAATATGTGTCTTTTAGCCTTGTCTAGAACATTTTTCTGGATCGTGCGCTTCTGAACTTTAATCTTTTAACTGACTCATTGCCCGAAAACATCTACTTGACAAAAAAAAATATATAAAACTAAATAAATAATCGAAGGAATCACAAAAGTTCTCAAACACGCCTTTTAGTGGGTTAATATACATAAATAAAATAAAGGTTAAATTAGTTCGTTGCTTTATTTATTATTTTGGACACTCGTAAAATTAGAACAAACGCACGTGAAAACGTTATGTGGCATTTTTTTTCCAAATCCTCCGAGTAACTGTAATATATGTGACGAATTGTTATCACTGATATTCATTTGTTTATGTAATTTGGTTTTGAAGATAAAGGCATAACCTCCTTTGCCCGCTGACTCCCATCACCCCATTCTCCCCTACACTTTTTGACTCACGTACTTATTTTTTAATTCAGAAAAGTGGCCATAGTAACAGTATGCAAAAAATGTGGGTGAAAATGCTACAGTCAAGTAGAACTTATTTTAGACGTAATTTCAGATAATTCAACTTACATTATTTATAGATTGAAGTTCGTAATTTTAACTTAATAATCCTTAGTGAAAAACATCAATTAGAAATATCGTATACTGTGCCGACATTGTATGTTTTAGTTTAGATTTGGACTCCTATATCGCATTGTTTGCAGTTTTTCTACGTTTTCTATATTCGTTCATTTGACAGTATTTTAAGTTGTTTCTAAACATTTATGAACCTGCGAGTTGGAAGATTCCAAAATATCGATAATATTGGATTGATTTTCTCATATTTGCTTTCTAGTATCCGAAAATGTGTGCTATTAAATTATGGACTCTTGGCTATCTTTAAATTAGCATATTGTATTTGTTGCTAAAAATCCCATTTTCATTTTTGTTTGAGTTCGGGAGATATTTAGTCATGATTCAGATTATTATTCCTAATTTAAAAAACAAATTTATTTTTTTCAATACTTACAATAAAAAAGCAACAATATGACGATTTTTGTTGCACACGTTATTTAAAAAATTGTGTTGTACATAAAGGAGGCGGTCATTGACTGTGCATAAATCGTTTTCTTATCTTAAAAAATATAAAAAATTAGACAGTAAGATATAATTTATTTTTCACGACTTCATTTCACATTGATATATTTCTGGTGTTTTCTCATGTTTTTTTTTTTTTTTTTGTTAACAGAGCTCCCTATGTTTTTGAATAAAAAATAAAAAAAATGTAGCATACAAATTTAGTTAAAAAATGAATGGAAGTCTTAATTATTAATTAACAATTAAAAATCTAACAATATAAAAAAACACAATATGTCCCATATACAGACGAACATGACTTGAAGCGCTGTATACACACTCTTTATAGACAAAGAACATTGAAAATGATGACATTTTCTAAGTTGTTTGGAAACAAAGTTTGCCATAATGTTAAATTGATATGGAATGTCACTTAATACCCCATATAATTTGCGATAAACACTATCAAAATATATTAAAACACTTTTCACTTAATTACCAAAGATTATCCATTATCTAGTTTCAATAAATGGAAAAATGTCTGCCCTACTTACGAATGCAGTGTATGCATTATACAAAATCCTCATCACAGGAATTTTGTTATCTCCAAATTTCAGCGTAATACTTTGTTAGTATGACTAATAGAATTTTTTTTGACAATTCTTTTAACAAGTTTTGCCATATTTCGTCTGCTACGTTGGCATCCTCAGAAAAGTTATTGCCTATATCTGCCATAAAAAAAACTGAGTTTTGGTCTGATGTTCCTTCGACGCTTTCATATATTGGAGATACTTGTTTGCAAACGTTGTTTCTATGTTTACAATTAGTAAAAATTATTTTACATTTGAAAGTTATCTGTTATTCCTATACATAGATCGATGTTAAGTGGGTCTAAAAACTGCTTCTTAATTTCCGCTACTCCAAAATTTAGTTTTGTATTTCTATACGAATGCGAAGAAAAGTGTATTGTATACCAGGAAAATTTACAATATTATGATATATTTTCACTGGAACTTTAGTGAATTTTTAAAGAGCATGCATTTTCAAAGCAACTTTCCGAGCAACCATGGTGCTAATATAGGTAATTCTCGAGCAAAATTCAGACTTATTTTTTTCTAATAATGTGAATGAAGAATACAATACAATTTAATGCTTTTGTAAAATACCTAATTAAATTTCAATATCTTAATATGTTTTAACATATGCTGCTTCATCTGAACTGGTCCATCAATTTATGTTAAATTGATTAGTTATGTACAAGAAATTTTAAAGTCACCAATTTTATTTTTTAAAATTATTTTAGCAGCTGTTATTAAAACACTTTTATTCAAAATTTAATAAGTCCTTTCTATATGGGAATAACTTTGTATTTTTCAAATTGAAATTACTCTTATTGCAGTTTTTAATTGGATTTTTTTGTCATATTTTTTGTGTAGTAAAACGTTCCAAGCTTTTTGTATTCAAATTGGCAAAATGTGTAACAACGTCGGCATAACTCAAGAAATTCGTGTGCCCATGACCTGTTTAGTATTATAAAATTAGGTAGATGAATGTTTATGTTATTTTCAAAATAGCTGTTTCCAAACCTCATTTTCTTACGAAAAGATCGTCATAAAAGAAACAAAGTGTCTAAATTTTTTAAGAACTGATTAGTTTTAAAAGTTACATATAACTCACGTATTTTGTTACAACAATAAAAAACACGTTAAATTTATTTGTTCAAAGAAGTAAAATTTGTAATGATAAAAATGTAGCAATGAACTGCGCTTGCTAATTCTTATTTCAAAGAGAAAATGCCTTATGATCCAACCAAGGAAAGGTTGCTATTATCGAAAAGAACCTCAGACTTTTTGTTAATATAATCGCGGAACGTCAAAGAAAACAGCTTTGATGTACTTCGTAATATGAAGTCTGAAGATAGCTCTTAGGTGTATAATTAGTTGACAGTCTGGCAAGTAGGGCGGGGTTAATTAGATATGTATAGTTAAAGAAAGTTATGCAGTGTTGCTTATTAAAAATGTTATTTCTATTTAATGCTGTCAGACTGCTAGTGGATTAGATAATAAAGGATTGGGCATTAGTACAAGCGCGCAAGCTACGCCAATAGGCGATCAGCAGGTAATTCGTGAAGTCTAGTTCTGTTCGTGATAGATTTTTTTTATTAGTTGAAGCATGGTATGATGCTGCTTTAAGGTTTTGTTTTATGGTGAATTATATTAATGTGTTGTCTTTTTAATCAGGATCGACCTCGGGATGACGGACAGACACCAGCCCAAAGACAAGCAGCGGCGAAGTTGGCGCTTCGCAAACAGCTTGAAAAAACACTTTTACAGGTAATTATTTTTGTTTGTTGCTTGATATGTGAACCCTATCGTTTTAATTGCTGTGTTGTACACAGTTATTTTTGCTGATAAATAAGTTCTTAAGTCACCTGCTTACACTATCTTATTTCATTTGTTAATGATATAGGATATGAAAGTTTGAAAAACATTAGCTTGCAGAGAAGGCGTACATTCCTTAAATGCCGACAATTTTATATTTGCAGATTCCTCCGCCCAAACCACCGCCACCCGAAATGCATTTTATTCCCAACCCTAGTAACACAGAATTCATATATTTGGTAGGATTAGAACATGTCGTCGATTTTCTTACGAAAGAAACGAGAATGCCTATGCCACCCATGCCGTTTTCGTGTACGCAGTGTAATTCCGATTTTACACCAGTTTGGAAATGGGAAACAAAAGGCAAAAATAGAGGTAACTATTTACTTATCACACTTGGCATAGTTAAAAGAAATGAATAATAATTGTCCGTTTTAAATAGTATGTTATCACTTATCAGCGAGACGATTACGTTTATGTTGAATTAATGGAGCGTTACACCTCGTTTGCGTGTAACAATTTTTTATTGCACCGTTTTCAACTAGTTCCACTAATAAAAGTTAAACTTGTACGTACATTTCACTTAACAGGTTTTATTACTGCAATTTTAAAAATGGTCGTTTGATTGCATCTATTAAGTTTCTCAGTGAAATTTATACTTTTACTTTCTTTCAAAAATCGTTGTCTTTGTAGTCATTTAATATCGCACAGTTGAATACATACGATCAAAAATCTTCACAATTAAAATTTGAACTTAGTAGAGATTGTGAAAATTGTAATAATTTTTTTTTAGATAGTCAAAAAAAATTCAACGTAGTTAAATTTATTTAGAATTCTATCCTTATGCAGCTAGTTCCAATTTATTTTTGTTTAGTACATCAACGTAAGGTTTAACATGTAAAAGTCAGCAAGCAGCAGCAACTTCTTGTTTATTGCTCCAAATAGTTGAACATCAAAAAAATTTGAAGAATTTTGAGAATTTTTTAACCGATTAATTGGATTACATATTTGAAAACCACTACCTGTTTAGGAAACACAAAATAAACTCAGCTTTGAAAGACTATAAGATTAATTATAATTATTTTAAAATAATTTTTTAAAATGGATTCCTTTTTTTACTGTATGGATACACACTGTTCAATGTTTTCGTCTGTCGTTAGCTCTTTTCGAAATTTATTATTTAATTAACCTAAAACTACTCAACACCTGCATACTTTGAAATTTTAAATACATAATAACATTAAAAATATATCCAAAAATTATTCAGTGCCATTGTATTATTACTACTAATAGAATATCCTTTTCATTATTGTGAAAAAGGGTTTTTCCAATTGATTTTTTAAAAAGTAAAAGCCAGAAGTCTGAAAGTGTAGATAAAGTTACCGACGCAGCGACAAAAATGATAAATTCAAATTTAGTCGTACAAAGGGCACGAAATGGTGTCTAATAATGTTACCTAAAAGAAACATTTTTTTGCAGGTGTTAAAGTCATATGCGAACAGTGCGTTACAAATAATGTTAAGAAAGCCCTCAAAGCAGAACACACGAATAGGTTGAAAACGGCGTTTGTTAAAGCTCTTCAGCAGGAACAAGAAATTGAGCAGAGGCTAGCCCAGGTTAGTTTTTTGTCGGGTGACGTAGAACAAGAATCTAACAATTCATTTTTCAGAATGGAGTTTTTACTTCGAGTAGTCCGGCGCCGTCACCAGTAACACCGGAAGCCATTCCGAAATCGGCAACTCCTACTCCCACCCCTCGACATGCTGCCACCCCTCCAGCTCCACCTGCCGCTCAACAAACGCCGCCACCTTCGCGTAGTTCGCATTCGTCTTCGGATAAGTTTTCGCAAAACGCCGCGGCGATGCAAGCGCTGCATCAACAACTACTTAGAAGTGAGTATGTTGGAATGACCAATTTGAAGTATACTTGTGTTTTTTTTTAAGATTAAAATATTTTATCGAATAATTTAGATAATTAAATTTGGAATGTACAGAATTATGATACGAAATTCGAAATATTTGAAAACATAAATCAGGTCCTCAATTATACCAACTAACCTAAAAAGGAAATTAGCAGTAATAAAAATTCACCTAAGTGCAGGATATTGTTTTAGTACCGGGGGTATTTAGATTAATTTTGACATGCGCACGCCTAAGAAATGTGATTGGTTGAGACGATCATCATAAAATTTTAAAGCAATTGCCAACCTGACAAAAACAATCACGAACAGTAATGGTCACTTTGTATTATGGCCAATTAAATTAAGTTTGATATTATTTTAATCTTCAAATAAAAAAAAATGTAATTCAAATTGTATAGTAAAATTTTAAATCGGTTGCCAACCTAACTAAAAAAAACAAACATTAATAGTCACTTTGTATTGTGAAAACCTACCTACCTACGAAGATAAGAACAATAATAATACAGCGCATATTCATTGAGCTACTGACTTCGAATTGTAAAAAATGTTGCTAATCTCACAAAAAATTCACAAACACTAATAGTCACTCCGTATTTTTTGAGAATGCGTTTACAAAATTATTCCATTAATTCTAAAAGTTTGCTGGGTGTGACTTTTGAACCATGATTGTGACGTCTGACTGAGTCAGAACTAGAAAACAAGACACCAATTTCTGAATTTCCCAGACATACAATACAATGACGTTCTATTAAACCAGATTTAAATAATTACAAGGTATGTTAGTGAAAAATTAACATTTATTTTAAAGAACATAATTTACTGTATATATCTGTTTTTTATTTTCTTACTTTACAATCTTGTGTAATGCTACTATGATTTGTTGTGAAATAAAAAATAAAATACGAGAGGAAGAATTGACGTTGCATATTTAAAAATCTTGAATAATAATAATAATAACAGACACAAGGTCCATATACAGATAGAAATCATAAATTAATAACTAATGACATCAAAAAAAAAAGAGAAAATAATTAAAAGTAATAATAATAATTAAGTTAAAATAATATATATATAAATCAATTTAATGTAACACTATTGTTTCAGTCAGTGAAGAAGCACAGAGATAAAGTGACATTAATAAATTTCTGAATTACCAAAACGCCACTACTGATAAAACCGCATTAATTAGTAATTTTTCGTATACTGCGCTGGTGACCCCAAGCTGAAGGAAGAATGTTGTGTACAGATGCGCACATAGAAAAATTTAATTTATTCTAGTAACTTGTTATTAAAAAAGGTGATTGTAATTCAGTAAATAAATTTTTTTTCCAACAAACCAACTCGTTAAATCTACTTCGTTCGCCACATAAATCATTGTTAACATCATACTTATAATTTCGCAAATACAACACTAATATCACGATAATTGTGCACTAATTTCTAGGAATTTTAGTTTATTATTTATTCACTTTTATCTTAATGGTGTTTAATTGTTCAGTATAATTGGCTTGCAATTTTTCTATTTTAATACTTCTTGTATATGTATTCTGATTTGCAATTCCGATTGTTTTTTTCAAAATATTCATAACTTGATCTGAATATTCTTTCGCGCTTTGTTTTTTTTTTTTTTAAACATCTCCATCATGAAATACTGCGTATAGTTAAATAAAAATTAAAAGGTTAAATTATATCAGTATTGAATAATAAAACCATGTTGTTTATATATCGTTTTTAAATTTACAATATCATGACACTCGTCGGTATACGTATTTTAAAAATCTCGCAAGGTCCAAATGTAGGTCCTTTACTATTCCTTCGTTTTATTAACGACATAAACGTTATAAACTCCTAGGTCGTTATCGCCAAATAATGAAATATTTTGGAGCACCATATTCAGTCAATAATTTTATATTGTTACATTGTACATACTCTCAAGAAATGCAGTGTTAATAATCTTTACTAAACGTGTTAAAGAGCTTTAATTTTTACATTTTAAAGTTCAAAATTTATTTTTCAAGTAATAAATTTGCCATCAAAACAAAGTAATTGCAAACATCAGATACTGTAACGACAGGCGTTATGTTAGATTGATAAAATCAATCTTGGAAAACAAATCCATTGACGTCATCGTAGAAGCTTGTCATGAAAATCCCAAGAGTCTTAAGACATGGTTTTAAATTTGTATGTTTCACTTCAGAAAATTTGGAGAAGTCTTCGACGTTATAAGCTAAAACGTTTGAGACCTCATTTTTTACATACACTAGAAGCAAGAAACAAGGTTAGATTGGTGTTTTTGCGGACTGGAAATTTTTTGGAAATTTTTTTTTAAGAATAAATATTTTCGGATGAAGTTACTTATACCACAAATAGTGTTGTTTCATCATAGAACTCTAGATACGTGACATCGGATAATTTGCACCTTTTTGAAGTGAAAACTTCCTTTATTTAGTTCATTCGAGTAAACTCGGCTTGAGACCCAAGCGAGTTAGGGGAAAACAAATCAGGTGTGCATTGCTGTAGTGCTTGGATACAAGGTACTTATTTACGTGCATACTGCCAATGACCAACTGTATTAAAATTAAGATTTTCACGAATTACCACGAAAAATGCAGCAAAGTTTTTAAATTATGCATAAAAATCACTTAACATTAAAATATGCAGAATATCCAAAAATGGGTAAACTCGTGTCGAACGAGCGAGGGAAAAGCGAGTCAACTGCGCTTGGTTGTACTTAATATTTCTTAAAAACCACGCTGACTTTAAATACATCAAATGAGTCAAATGAGAGTACAAAAAATATGTAACTACAATTGACGGAGTTTTTGCTAGATATTTAGATAAATTTCAGTCGGAGGTATTGTAGTGGCCACAAGGCCGTTGCTTCTCTCTTAGATTATATTATGAATATAATAGAGCTGAAGAAGATATTGATTTACAAAACCCACCACAGCAAGTTCCTGATTGGTCCAAGTAAATAGCAACCATAATGATATTTATATTATTCATATAACTTATATTTTCATGATATAACAGCCGTTCAATTGAAATCATCAAGTTGGCTTTGCACTTTTGACAGAAGAAAACGTAGCAAAAAATGCGTGTTTTATTAAACCATACTGTTGTGTATAATTAACATATGTGTTGTTAGCTGTCATTGATTACATTTTTTTATTAACGGTTCACGATTGTTTCAAATTCGCGCAATCTATGAAAATCTGATAAATGTATTTTAGGTTATAATTGATAACGGGAATCTTTTTGATCACTCGGTGCACTATAATAACATTGCGTTTATTCCAACAACACCGAAAACACACAAAATAAATACATATTTGTCGACGCGTTTCACCAACCACGTTGGCATTATCAAGACTAAACTACTAGACAATTGTCTAGATAATGCCAATGTGGCCAAACGCGTCGACAAATTTTTTGTGTGTTTCTGGGGATCAACGTTACATTATTTAAAATAGGAACGTCATATGACCTAACCTGACCTGAATTGACGCTAACCTAACAAAAAAATATCTGAACTCACTGAGTGTTTAAAAACAATCGTGAACGCCATATAAGTTTATTGTAAATATACTTTACAATGTTAAAAAAATGAGGATAACTTAATGACTTTTTCAATTTAATACCCGATTTATTACTTGGAATTGATCGATCGCCACAGAAGTTTAAACACCTTTTTTTTTAATTGGCTTACGGAATTTGATTGATAACTTTTCTTTGTAATTGAGGTGTTTCAACAAAATTGAGCATTAGTTCTCAATATTAGAGTTACTCGAGCAGGGTTAAATCAACATGACATGCGTTGAAGTTTTATTTGTAGGGTACAATTAAAAACAAACTTTATAAAATAAGACCTCAGAGCAGAATTAAGAAGAATAATAAAATCGATAAGATTGATTTAATAAAGTACGATACCTTTTTTAAGCCAATTGAAACTGAATTAAAATGTTAAACTTGATGAAAAAACTCAAAAATAATATTTTTTAACAAAATGTGGCAATTAGGTGCATGCGAAGTAGATTATTTAAATACAGAAAAAGCAAAGAATTTTTTCTGTATTTCGGTTTGAATTGGATCTAGATGTTTAAAAAATGAGTTGACTTATTGTTGGGGTATATCCTATTAGAATTTACGATCGACAGTTATATTCAACACATTGACTGCAATTGGTTGCTAAGCCAAATTAATTTTATAATTCCACGATTGAATTCTTGGCAGCAACGCACATTTTATCCAAAGTGCTATAAATCGAATACTTTGTTGGATATCTATATCTCTTACGAACGAACATAATGTAATTCTGACGTTCGTGGTATAAATTTCCATTTAGTAAATATTTTTTCAGTTGCAGAAATTATTGTGTTTCTGCAATTGGGCGCATAAAATTATTGTTATTATGATTACTGCTATTATTAATAATCTCGTAAATGTATATGTATGTATACTAGTCTCCAAAATGTAGGACTGAAATAAAATTTTTGAATTTTTAAATTAAATTTATTTCGTAAAAATTTATGTGTAATAACTATTTGTTCTTGGTGAATAATGATTGTATTTTTTTGTCGTAGGTTTGACAGCGGGGGCCCCTCCAGCCCACATGTTGCCATTTTCGCCACTGTTTTACCCGTATCAAGTAGCAATGGCGCAAGCTGCAGCCGGTGGAAAAGGGAGCTCGGCTAACATGGCCGACCTACAAAGAGCAGCTGAGCTCCAACGACAGTACCTTTTAGACATGATCCCTCCAGGACCGGGACAACGCCACAACTGGAAAACATGATGTGTCAGTGATAAGACTTAGATAATAATGTGCTAAAAGTGATTAGACTGGTAAATGGCCACCGAGGCTGTTGAGAGACTGTTTTATCCACGTGTCAGCGGATTTAAATGTTTTAAATATGATGTGCCCTTTATTCCAGAAGTAAAAACCTTTTTTTGAACGAAGTTTGTTTTTAATAACAGTTTGAGTGGAAATTTAGTCAATTATCGCAAGACTGAAACTAGTACCTATTGTATTATTGACACTGGATGTGTTATTTATTTACTGAAGAGTTACTGAAAGTCAAAAACAATTAACCCATTAAACGAACGGAGATCTCAGGATTGACATACTTACACTAAGTTAAAATAATTTTCTTAAGTAATAAGAATAAGTGATAATCAAGGTTCTGTTCCAATGACGTATGAGTTTTTTTACTTCTGGAATTTTTATTTATTACGAGATGTTCTCGAGACAATGCAGGACGTGTAAATATGCTTTGGCGAGATTTTAGATGTAGAAATAACGGTTGACATTGCTGAAGCAACTTTTTGCGTTGAGATGTGTAAGGTTGTTTGTATTTGTGTGATTGATTATTTTTAGCGGTGGATTTCATGCATTCAACATTTACATTTCGTGCACTATTAGTTCAATTTTTTTCTTCATCTCGAGGCATTTATTTTGGAGTAAATGTTGCAGTGCCGAAACCGTGGCGTACATAATATAAACAAGTTTTGTAAATAGGTGTTTTTACAATTGTATAATAGTTAATCGATAGGAATATTGATGCATATTATGCTCATTAATCTCGATGTTGACATTTATTATGAGGTGTTTTCTATTGTAACATGCAAAATGTTTTCTAAAATGATTAGTTAACGACCTGTTAACTAGACAATTGAGCTGTTTTTTGTGGACACCTATGTATAATCATGTACTTTCTGTAAAAAATTATTTATTTCCATTGTAACTATAACAAAAGTGGTATTTTCGAGGCACCTTAAAATTTGTTAATGCAGCTATTAAGTTTAATGAATCGAAAATAATGAAGGGGTGAAGAGTGATTTTTATTCTATTTCACTATACTGTGTTCATTTTAATACTGTATTTTTTCCATTAGAATTGTGTATATTGTAGCTATACGAAGGTGCTAACAGAAATTCCATATTTCTGAAAATCTAAATGAATTTTGTTGTATTTGTAGGATGAGTGTTTGGATTAACACAATTTGTTTTCGCACACCTTGTCACAAAGCAAGAAGCTCAATGAAACATGTGGAAAATAATTATTTTCTAATTACCTAAAAATAAACAGTAAGACTTATTTAAGAGCACAATTTACGCCAGTAATCTCTTAAAAATATGTAATTGCATTTCAAATATCAGCAGTGTGAAAATTGTCTACATAATAAAATCAACTTTTCAGTCTTACTTGTATTACTAGTGTTATTATTGTAGATAGTGCTTGCAATTTTCCATCTAAAATATAGTCAATCTATGTCGGTAATCGGCTGTGGAATTATTTTTGATTATTCTTTCAATATTTTTGAAACGTACAGTATGTCACACACACACACTTTTTCACACACTGAACAGGTTTTTAGAAGAAAATTTATAAACTAGAGTTTGTAAATAATAGAAATGTGAACTAAATGCCTCTTCAGTACTTATGTTAATATGTTGCCTCAAAGTTTTCAACTATTACTATTTTGTAAGTTGTGTATAATTATTTCAACATGTTTTTAAATAAATTGACTCATAAGTTGATAAAACTTGCCTTATTGTTTTTATTAAACGAATGCAGAATCCGAGAAACAAAGCTAAAGAGTAAGTATAATCATTTTAAAGATAAAAATAGCAATAACAAATTTGAATCGGCAGCAATTATTAAATCGGAAATACAGGTGCGCCAACCACGTGGCGTTAGATACAACAAAACCCTAAAACAGTTATAGTGGTTATAACCTCAAAACGGAGATTTATATTTAGCAGATAGCAAAACGAAAACTGATAAGCGCAGCACCATTTCAGAGAGTAATTTCTCACATTTAAATAATAATTCTCCTAATACCATTATCAAGTGATACGCACATTCTTCCATAATTTATCGTAGTTGTTAATAAATTTACCTGTCACATCTGTCAACATTTGTTGGGGAAGTTGAGAAATCGCTAAAAATAGTAAAAGTAAAATGATAATAACAAATTTTCCTGATTATCCGTAAGAGCAGTGTAAAGCGTTCCCGAATGCCCTGGCCTGGAATTTGAAAGTGTACACGTTGAAACTGCACTAGTGAGAGTTAAAAATATCAGAATGATGTGAGGGTTGCAGAAAAAAAAGCAGTTTTGGCATGGAATATCCTTTGCAAGATTTCGACATTGACCAGGAAACTGATTTTTTATTGGGAAATCCGTCAAACCATGGGAGTGATATGGAGACACAAACAAAAAGTAATCGTAACCCAAAAAGGCGTAGAAGTTTAGCGGCTATTTTATGCGGGTGAGTGAATATCGAGTACAGAGTTTAGAATATTCACGTTATTTTTAACTTTAATAGTCTTAAGTTTTATAATAACGACATACATAGCGCGTGAGCGTTTTAAAATAGAGACGTATTATGGTATGTCAAAATAGTTGACCTTTAAATAGCTTAACAATTACGCTTTGTTGAAAAAAGGTGTGTGTCGGCGCTCACGAGCAGCTAATTTGCATTTATTCCAAGATTTGAATATTGGCGCGCCGCGCCACGTCCATGTTTGACGTTTGACTGATTGAAATTTTATCAAACGTCAAACTGTATTTGTTTTGATAGAGGCCTAAAGAATGTGAATTTACGCGTGATCGTAAACGTACTTTAAAAAAAGTGTTCGCGATGGACAATTTAGAGACGCAGAGTAATTTGACAAAGACTTCCAAAGAGGACATACCACTAATCACTAAAACTTATAAAGAACCGCTGTGGAGGTATTGCGTTAAACAATTATCACGAGTGACTAATCCGTGTCCTTGTTTCCAGTTGTTGGTGTTCCTTGTTCCGAAAATGTTGCGGACCCAGGGAATTGAAGCCCCGGAAAATAATGCTAGGGAGTCAGACTCCTGGGCAGTTTCCAGCAAACGCCATAAGAAATCAAAAATACAACATAATAACTTTTCTACCGTTGGTTTTGTATCAGCAATTCAAATTCTTTTTGAATCTGTATTTTCTAATTATGGCTATATCGCAATTTGTGCCCGACATTCGAATTAGTTATCTCTACACATATTGGATTCCATTGGTAAATTGTTTCTTGTGTCATTCACTTCATTCAATGTGGTATTGTTTTAGTGCTTTGTGCTCACTGTCACAATTTGTCGGGAAGCCATAGATGATTTGCGACGCTATAAACGAGACCAGGAAGTTAACAACCAGAAATGCAAGAGATTGTTAAACGACAGGAATAAACCATATGAAATTGTGGCTGCTCATAAATTACGTGTCGGTGATTTGATTATTGTCGATAAAGATGAACGAGTTCCCGCGGATTTGGTTTTATTGCGAACTTCTGAAAGTAGTGGTGCTGTTTTTGTTAGAACTGATCAGCTAGATGGAGAAACAGACTGGAAGTTGCGATTAGCTGTTCCCACAACACAGAAGCTGGCAACAGATCATCAACTTTTTGAAATCAGTGCGAGAATTTATGCTGAAAAGCCTCAGAAGGATATACACTCATTCATAGGAACATTCAGTAGGGTGAGTTAATATATCAGTTTGATTTCAAAATATTTGCTGTTCAGACTAAACTGGGTCAATGTGTAATGAATGAGGCCATCATTGTGTGTTTTAAACAATCTATGTTATTTCAACCAATTTAATCAAAGTTTGTTGAATAAAATGAATTTTCTGTCTCAGAATCTTAGATACAAGTACAAAACAGTTAGTGCTTGAAATTTTATTTTGTATAACAACACTAATGTATGGTGTTTTTGAACCCATTTGTTATATTTGTCACGCCCAAACTGTTAAAGATACCGTTTAAATATTTTTATTCTGGTTGGATTGTGTTCATGTTACTGTATTTTAAATTGAGTAATGAAATTTTCATTTTAACGTTTTTATTGATTGCGGAATCATTACGACTGCAACGACATTTACATGTGTGATTTATTTTAATTACATACATATAATTAATTAATCATATGTTTTATTATTTGTTATGTAATTAATATGGCTGACTAGGTATTTCTAAATTTACCATGTGACTGGCTAAATCAGCAGAATTAAATTGCTCTATGCATTATAATCTATTGATTAGATCATATTTTTTTTAGTGGAAAATGTTTTTTAAGAATAAGATAAGCAGAGAATGCTTACTATTTCATGAATTTTGACGTCAACGGGTTTCATAAGCTTTATTTCTAAAAACTATAATATCAATCACATTGACATTATTCTGAATGGAAACAAGTAAAAATGATTTGTTTGATTTATAGTATCGTCAGTTTTGTGTTCGTCCTTTAACCGGATATTGCAGATATTATTTAAAAAAAGATATTTCGAGTTACAATTTGATATTACGTATCACAAAAAAATCTAATAAAAAAGTTCCAGTACTATTGATAGTGCCGAAACCAAAGCATTTTTAGGTATAGGCGAACCTTGCGTTAGCCGCCCCTCCCCTACACATAAAAATGCAATTTTACACAACAGTTTTATTTATATTTTTTAATAAGGATGCAAAACAGATACTATGATAAAATATAAAAAAAAAGAAAAAAAATCGAGATTATACATATAGGTATATAATATGTATAAATCTATAAATATTATACAAGTTCAAAATAAAATCAACATTAAAAAACCTGTCGCACCGGTTACATGTTTCTGAGCTTCCGTTCAAAATAAAAAAAGATTAATATGACATAATTCTTGGTACAGTTTTGGAAATTTCATTCTACCCTATAAAATTTTATTGACGATAACGAGACGGACAGTAGTACAATGGTAAGAAATATTTATGGCTCCCACCAGTTCACTCGAATTTGTCTGAGAATATTTGGCAGGTAGTTGTACTCATAAAATAGTGGTAATTTCCGTTCATAAGTAACGATGGTCCCAGCCCGGACCTCGATTATTCTGGTTTCTAACATCTGGGGATTACCGGCACGCGACAACTTAAGTTGTAAATATCTCTTGCTATTGTACAACTGTGCGTTTCGTTATTGCCAATGTAATTTCCAAAACTATACAACATAATTTTTGACGAATTTGGCGCCCCTTGTCGTTGGCGCCCCTAGGCAAGGGCCTACTCGGCCTATAGCTAGTTTCGGCACTGACTATTGATCTCTCACTTATATGCTGTATGTTTCCAAATTTTATCATTTAGAGCAACTCGAGACTAGCACTCGACCCACAAAAAAGGATATCAGAACACTGTGTTGTAATAAATGAAGCAACTGCGGCGACATCGATTATTTACGATTACTTAAAAATGCGCTTTTCTATCCAAAATTAAGTATCCGATTTCTGTATTTTGCTAAATATATTCTTTATTTTTAAAGAAGAAGAGGTTTTGTTTAAAACGTAGATGGTGTAGGTCAAATTTGACATTTTAATACAAAAAAAAAGCTCAAAATTTTTTCACAGTGTGTATTTTAATTAACATTTAATTTAAAATATATACCGTCGCGAGCAAAAAATTCTGGTCGTCAATGTCATTTTTACTTGCCAAACATAAGCTAAGGAAGTATAGTAATCGAATCTATCGGACCAATGGCCACTGTTATGTTTTCTCGACGTTTCATGACTCCTTCAGTACGAAAAAAGTAGTCTTTCAGTCTGTCTGGTGTCTGTATCCATTTTTATTAGACACGTAATCTCAGAAACTGCTGGACCGATTGTTGTCAAATTTTGTATGTATATTAGAAATATCATCCCCACCAACTATTTGGTGACGTCGTTTCAATGAATTGTATTTTAAAATGATATTTAAATGATATACAAAAATATACTTATATACTTGTAATGTAAGAATCCGCTTTCAGTTTTTTCGTTAAACGTTCAAATTTGGTTCATTGGTAATACGCACCTTTCAATTAGAGCAGACAAAATTTAGTGAAATGGAGGCAGGGAGGGTGGGCGGGGTTAATTATATATTTTTCGGTAGACGGAGAGTGGAAACTGATTATATATATTAATTAGGAATTAAAAAAAGTAAAAAGAAAGTCTTTTATAAGTAAGCAATTGCCCCACCCACCCACCCGCTCTTCATTCCAGAGATTACTCTTAATATTGTTCAGTCATTTACCAAAAACAGTCTTATCTTAACTTATCTTAGTAGGCATGTAATTTGACACAATTAGTCTTATTTTGCAAGTACTTGCCCCGCCCACCCACCCTTTATTTTCTTGGAAGGTATGTCATTTACCCAAGTCAGTCTTTTCTTAACAAGTATTAGCCCCCCCATCCACCCTCTTCTTCCTCTAACGACTAATTTTATTACTGTTTAGTATGAAATGCACCTTTCAATGAGAGCAGATAAAATTAATCAGTAAAATGGAGACGGGGCAGGTGGGCGGGGTTTGTTACATATTTTTCTGAACAGTGGGAGGAAGGTGGGTGGGTGGGGTTAAATATATATTTTCCCGAAGACTTAGAGTGCTAACTAATAGAATTAGGATGTAAAAAAAGTAAAAAAAAAACAGTCTTGTATTATCCATGTTGAGATGACGTCATCACAAATTTTTTGTTCGTAAAATTAAGAACGAGTCACTCTATTTTTTCAAAAATGTGAAGAATAAGCACGTCAGTATACCGGTTGTCTGGAAGCAACATTTTTCTTTGCTTACCTTCATAATTAAAAAAAATTTTATGATATACTCGTAGATTAAAAAATTTTTTAGGTCAATAACCGCCAAAAAAAACATTTAATAAGACATCTATTAATTATAAACAAAAAAAAAAAAGAAAAGTCCATGAAAGTATAACCAACTAAACACCAGAGAAGATGTTCAAAATTTCTGCCTTGTGCATATAAGTAAGCTCGTAATGTTTCCAAATTTTGATCATTTTTTGTAAAAGTTAGTCATTAGTACTTGCTAAAATAAAAGTGATTTTGGCAAATGACATACCCTCTAAGAAAAGAGAGGGTGGGTGGGCGGGGCCAGCAGCTGCTAAGATAAGTCTGATTTTGGCAAATGACATACCCTCTAAGAAAATAGAGGGTGGGTGGGCGGGGCTAGTTCCTGCTAAGATAAGACTGATTTTAGTAAAGGAGATCCCTCTTAGAAAATAGAGGGCGGGTGGGTAGGGCTAGTACCTGTTAAGACTAATTTTAGAAAATTACATATTCTCTAAGAAAATAGAGGGTGGGCAGGTGGGGCTAGTACCTGCTAAGGTAAGATTGATTTTAGCAGGTGACGTATCTTTTAAGAAATTTAATTAAATTATTATAAGATAAGACAAAAATAGAACACCAAAGTCCCCCAAAATTGTTTCAAATAATTTACTAAAAAAATTGCCATGGACTCGCAAAATAATGCACCATGGGTGCCCAAGAATCTCCCGATTAAAAAAAAACACTGCGGCACTTTCAAATTCGTAAAAAATAAAATTGATTTGTACCTTCGCTGTAAGTCAGGCAAACATTGTTGTCAAATGGAATTTTATCAAGTTATTACAAAACAACACAACCATATCTTTGTATATTTTAACTGAAATGGTAATTAAACATGGTCATGAACGAGAGAAATATTAACTAAAAGTTTTATTACGAGTTATTGTGATAATGAATATGTTATTTAGTTGTTAACGTAGCAAAGGAACCAAATTTAAAATCGTTGTAACTCCACCAAAATGTGAGAAGGATTTTTTTTACTGTTTTTCGCAGACTCACCAGTTGATTGTTAAGAGCGTAGCGGAGAGTTAATCCGCTATTTGCCGATTGTGGCTTAATTAATAATTTTAGTCCTCTGTTTTGGGAGACTACTCATTCAAATTAAACAAATTTATAAGTGACGTTCCTTCGAAGTATAGACATAAACAATCGAAGTTAACCATGTACACTGATAATACACTCTTTTCAGTTATTTGCTCTGAAAATATTTCATATTGTCCGTATGTCTGCGGACGGCACCTCGGAATTTATACCGAAGTTCGAGATGTCATTTGCACCACTGGTGTCCCACACTTTCGGGTATTTTTGAACGGATTTTTATGAAATTTGAAATGTAGGTATTTTGATAGGTGACGATTGATATGAACTGGTGAGAATAATCATTATCTTGAAAAAGTCAATTTTCCTTGCCTTAATTTAATTTTAAATTAATAAAGTTTCATCACATACATACATAGCAAACGAAAAATACAAAAGATATTACGGGAGATAATGAAATTGTAAATGCTACAGTTAATGTGTTGAAAAAAAAAACACCAGGTAGGGCGTGGTGTTATCGATGCGAATGCTTCTTGGATCCGATGCTGTAAGTTTTCTCGTTCTGGAGGCCGCGTAAAATATACTTTACTTTGAAACAACATAACCCCATAAGAAATAATCGCAAGGTGTAAGATCTGGAGATCTTGCGAGACAGGGGATTGGACCTCCTCTTCCAATCCAACGCTGTCCAAAAGTTTGATCTAAATAATTTCGCACAGGTAAAGCGAAATGTGGAGGAGCACCATCTTGCATATAATTCATACATTTTGAAAAAATTCTAAATAAATAACACCTGTCGAATTGTCGTCGAAAAAGTGAG